CCTGGTGTTGTCCCCCGCAGGGCCATGGGCCAGTGAGGAGCATCTCGTCTCATAGTGGGGTTGGCCATGTGGTCCTCTCTGTGGACTGGCTGCTCTATTTGGCCTAGTGGGTCAGGATGTAGCACATTCCTTTTTAAAAAAACAGTTTTGTCTGCACTTCTTCCACATATTATACAATTCAATAGTTCAATCATATCAAAAGAGTTGTACAATCATTATCACAAGCGGTTTCAGAACATTTTCTTCCTGGACTCACTGTTATTAGGGTAATTTTTAAAATTGTGGTAAAAAATACATACAACAAATCATTCTCTGATTTAACAACTTCTACGTGTATAATTCAGTGCCACCGGTTATACGCTTTGTGTTGAACAACCATCATTAACATAAACTCAATGGCCCCTAAGCAAAAACTCTTCCTCCTTCACCCATGGTACCCATTGGTTAACTCTGGTTTCTTTTTTAGTAATTTTCTTGATATAAAATTCACAAATCATATACTTCCATTGTTAAGACATTTTTTTTCTATTTTCAAAACCATTTTATTGGAAACTAATACAGATATCATAATGTTCCATAGTTCAATCACTTCAAGCAGTATTGTACAATTGCTACCACACACAGTTCAATACATGTGCTTCCTTCTTGAACTTCTTGATATCAGCTCCCCTTTCCCCTCCATTACCCACTGTGCCCCCAGGAACCCTTCTCCTACTTATCGCCTCTATAGGTTCATCAATCCTGTATTTCATATGCTAAAAAAAACCCATAAAAACTTAAAACAAAAATTCAAGAGGGCTACCCCCAATGAGTTAAGTTGCTTTTAAAAAGAACTGTATATACATCATCACGATCAGTTCTAATGCTCTCTCCCCCTCCCACATTCATTTTTTGCTTCCCACTTCCCCTTACTTTCCCCACTTCCCATCCGTGATAAACCATCGCATCAGTTATTATCTCTGCATGCACTCCATCTGTAATAGCACATTTCAGTACCGTGTAAGGATTAGCTATTAGCAGTTCACAGAAGTCTTTTTAAAAAATTTTAACATTTTACTGGGGCTCATACAACTCATCACAATCCATACATCCATCCATTGTGTCAAGCACATTTGTACATATGTTGCCATCATCGTTTTCAAAGCATTTTATTTCTACTTGAGCCCCAGGTATCAGCTCCTCATTTCACCCCTTCCTCTCCTTTCCTCCCTCCTTCATGAATCCTTGATAATTTATAAATTATTATTATTCTTTCATATCTTGAACTGTCCAATGTCTTCCTTTACCCCCTGTCTGTTGTCCATTCCCCTGGGAGGGGGTTATAGATAGGTCACTGTGATCGGTTCCCCCTTTCTCCCCCCACCTTCCCTTTACCCTCCTGATATGGCTACTCTCAATATTGGTCCTGAGGAGTTTATCTGTCCTATATTCCCTGTGTTTCCAGCTCTTATTTGTACCCATGTAAATGCTCTAGTCTAACCAGATTTGTAAGGTAGATTTAGGGTCATGATAGTGGGGGGGAGGAAGCATTAAAGAACCAGAGGGAAACTGTATGTTTCATCAGTGCTATGCTGCACCCTGACTGGCCCATTTTCTCCCCACAACCCTTCTGTAACAGGATATCGAATTGCTTGCAGATTGGCTTTGGGCCTCCACTGCACACTCCCCCCATCATTCACATTGATAAGATATTTTGTCTGGGTCTTTGATGCCTTATACCTGATCCCATTGACATCTCATGATCACACAGGCTGGTGTG